CTGAAAAAGAAAAAAGCAAATAGCTATTAACCTATCCCCTGTGTGCCTTGAGGTGCAAAAGGTTGAGAATTGCTGTATTACGCTGTACATTGCTAAGAATTATTAGTATCTTCTGTTGTTAAGGTTGTTCAATTAGATCAAACATTGTTTACTTATTTTTTCTACCATAAAAAGGAAATCTATACCTTTTAATACTTCTGAATTAGACAGTGCTTTACTTTTAACCATCTAATGTTTGTTTTGAATGTTCTGAGAAAGTTAAGTTACATATCCTCACCTTTGCTGCTTTCACTGATTAAAAAATTTCTTTTTCCAAGTATTCTTTCTTCTGTTTTTACTATTTGTTGCTACATTAAATTTCTTTCACTCAGCACTTGTCTGAGACAGTTGTTTTTTTTAAGACAGAACTTTCTTATTGCATTCTTCCAAGTCTTTTCATCTGAAATTTAAGTAGTAGGGAAGTTTGCTTTATTTGATTCAGGTACCTTCTATTTACCAAATTTTTATTAGTATTCCACTTCAGTTTAAGGCAGGTAACCTTCTAGACATTTTCCTTTTTTTAAATCTCAGCTAAGCTAGTGTGTTACTGATATACTTCTTATACCCTTTCAGGTTATAGTTTTAATCTGATACCTTCTGCATATAGAAATTATATTTTATAGATTACAAGCTGAGGTATCTATCCTACATCTGGGGCATAAAGATTGAATATAGGGCTTGAATTAATAAACTGAATCAAAAATTTGTATTTATTATATGCATAATTTATTTCATACATAATTCACTTTACAACTACTTTATTTCACACCTAAATTATAACACATTATAGAAATGGTGTTACAATTACTTTGGTTTACCTTACTTCATTTCATTGCATTTACCAATCCCTCTCTACAGTCTCAGTGTCTGTTGATATTCTGAGTGCTTTTTGATAGACTGCATTAGAAGTTTTTATTCCTTCCTGGGTCAAAATAAAGATATTTCTTGGTATCCCTGTTCTGGAATACCCAATAGAATTGACCATGTGAAAAGCAAGGGGTTTTCAGATGTAGCCTTGCCACTTTAAGGCTCTTACCTTATACTGTAGTTGCTATTTTTTCCTGGAAAAAAATTAAATGTTTGATGTTTTTAATGGGAAAGTTAAAATTTTTTGTAGACAAACTCAAAAACAAAATTCAAGAAAAACACTCAAAATAAAAAACTTTAGGAATACAAATTCGTCAAGATTGTGTAGTCGTTAGCTAAAGAAATATATTTTTGATTCAATGTATCATCCTACCAAGTTTGACTGAGTTAGGTTCAAAGACCATGGAGTAGTACGTTGACAAGCAAACAAATAGGCAACTAGACAAATTTTATACTTCTATAACTATAGATTTATCAGCTCATCTTGCACTCTTGTTTGACTGGCCTTTTAGCTGTCTGTTTGGGTGCCTTCATAATTCCTCTGTGCACTTTCCCAGCTCTGTACCCATAAGGATTATCTTCATTTTTTCATGCACCTGTGATCCTTTTTCACACCTATTAACCATTCTTTTGTAGTCCTTTGTATTCAACTGGAAAGCTTTTGTTTGGTCATCTAACTTCTTAGTATTTTTATACATCCAGAATGTCATTGATAGTTTTATTTCATTGAGAGAATATTATATATCAGTTCTGTGGGCTTTCATTTTGTCTAGCAACAGCTCAGTATGTTTCCGAAATGGTGCTATATCGATCCTGGTCTGCCCTATAAGCATTGCTTAAAAAACAAAAATTTCACTACAGTGCACCAGTCTTTATACCCCATCAGTTTTGTGCCATTTCAGAACACGTACTGATCATGTGACTACTCTTCACCAATGGTACTGTGCCATCTATACTGGTGCAGCTAGCTCCCTCTACTGTTCTAGAACAATCCTCCCTTTCACGATTGGCATTCTAGTGTAAAGAAGTGGGTTTTAACTCAATCTTCTTGTGAATACAAAATTTTGATTGTGCTTGATCACAAATTTATATCAGTTTCAACTTTAAGTTTTGACTTTTTGTGTTTGATTTCCATTGTTTCTACTTGCTTGTCTTAGAAATATTTCTGTTTTCCAAATTCTAATTTGTTCATATGAATTCAAGATTT